GTCGTGTCGTTTTTGAATCGGCAATGGCGCCTATAACGACGGGTCGTGTGCAGTTGGGAGAGTAGTAGATCGTGCCATCCACGACCACCGCATGGGAGTTGGCCCAATCGAACGAGAAGGAAGGGAGCATGATGTTCTAAACAGCGATTCATGAGTACTGGTTAGAACACCGTGCATGAAATACGAACTTACTTGATGCAGGCAGGGTCACAAATCCGCGAAAGTACGGAATTGAGGTCTCTTTGTTCAGCGGATCTATAAGGACATGGTCAGCTAGGCGTCATATTAAAACACTCGAGCTTGTTCCTACCTGCGCAGGAGGCAGCAAATTCAAATGGAGTCCCGCCCTTCTATAACACGGTGTGTCCCAGAAATCTGTGTCAGCTCGTGTATGCGCCGTTGTCATCCAGGTGGCCCAGAATCTGTGGCAGCCGGAGGAGATGGGCAGAGGGTGGTGCTGAAAAGAAGCACAGCACCATGTCACATTTTGGGACAATCTGACAAAGTCGGTCAATTTGACCAGAACTTGACGGCCGAAAATGGGACACAGAACAACGAAAAAAGTCTGGCACCGTCCCTATCAATTGATTGCCTGCTGCATATCTCTTATTGTTGTCAATTCTCAGCAAACAACTTCCAATTCTCTACCTCAACCATGTCCAGCCTTGTCATTCCTCTGGTCTCAACCACACTTCCGATGTGCAAACCGGATCTCATGCCTTTCCACATCGACTACGATGGTCCAGCACCTGTCTCCGCGTTCATGCGCATCAGCCCGTTAAAGCAAGAAGATTCACCATCCAAGATAGCTTCCCCGGCCGTAGAAGGCGAGGAAACTGCAGAAAACGCGTCCACGGATGCGATGAACGTCGATTCTGCCCGGCGGTCGCCCCAGCCAAGCCAACCGCGACGTCGAGCACCATAGACGCGTCAACTGCACAGTCTAACGACGTCGACATGGAAAACGCGACGCAGGACGCTCGCCAGGCACCGACGCCCGCCATTACGTGGTCAAAGACAGAATCGACCCTCATGGTTGAGTCCCAAGCCTCCAGCTCGACTTCGATATCGTCCACATCCACTTTCCAGCAACCTCCAGCAGCAGCCTTACCCCCGCGCCCTCTCATCACT